AACCTCAGCTGCATGTGGAGTGTACAGGTCACTTTCCCCCCGACCCCCTTCCAAAATCACGAGACAGACCCCAGGCTCTTTCCAGACCTGCAGGGGACTTAACAAGATACACATGTGGGCTTCGGGGTCCACCGTCCCCGAGCTCTGCAGCGAAAGCCTCAGCTGTGTTCTGAGCTGTCACTTTGTCCTCAAGTAGCGTTTGGGGGGGCTGGGCTGGGCCCCGAGCACGTAGGAGCTGGGGCCTCGCTGCTGGCCAGGGTCGGATTCAGGCAGCGCCTCTGGCACCAAGGTCTTTGAAGGCACAGCCCGGCGGGGGAGCTGAGAGCCTGTGGTTTTAGTCTCCCTTCCTTTTTCCTTCTTAAGAAACATTATTGTTGAATGAGGCTCCCACTCTGAGGACGAACGAGCTGAGGCCTCCCTACCCCCCCACACCCCCGCCCTAAGCAGGGGGCTCCTCCCCAAGCTCCCTTCTCCAGGCTGGAGATGACCTGCACTTTCACGCGCGGACTCACCCCTCATTCACACGTCCAGGCTGGGGGCTGGGGAGGCAGGGAGGCGACCGGGGCACCGCCTGAGGCTCCAGTGGTTCGAGAAGACCCTCTGACCCCCCCGAGCCTCTGATGCCCCCCGATGAGTGCCCCCTCCCGCCGTCCTGCCCCCTGCACAGCCGTCAGAGCTTCCCTGTGGGACGCAGCAGGCGGCGGAAAGGAGACCCTGAGCACGCGGGACTTTATCTCTATTGCTCACACCGTATGGAGCCTGCTTTCTACACGGTGCCGTGGGCGGGGACAGGCGTCAGGCCGCAGGGACGGTGCGCGAGGCCACGCTCTGCCGTGCCGGAGGCTCCCTTCCCGGACAGCAAAGCACACAGCTGACGGGTGTTTAATGAGCGTGAGACATGCGACTCTCCCGCCCCTGAGGACAGAGCGGGGAGATGGGCCAGACCATTCCCACGGTCCAGCCGCTGAGTATCCAGGACGGCGGCCGCCCAGTCCCGGGTCACCCCCTCCCTCCCGGGCTCCTGTCCTGCAGGGCCTTCCCCTGCGGGCTCAGCGGAGGCGCAGCCCCCGGGGAGGAACACTGGCCACGACAGCTGCCTGCCCGGATCAGTGACAGGCTCAGCGTGGCTGCCACGGATTACAGCCCCAGGCCACCTGTTGCCGGCCCTGGGCGAGGGCTCTCAGATGGGAAAAGTGAGTCACGCGCGTGCAGCTGAGAAGCTGGCGCCGTTTTTAAAAATCAAACTTTTAACCTGAGATCGTTACAGACCACGCACCGCGGTAAGAACTACCACGGCCAGATCCCACAGGCCCTAAATGGCCGCACGCAGGGAAAGCCCAGGTGCCCCCTCCCACCCAGGTTCTGACGGGCGCTGCCACTGGCCTCGCCTAGAGCCCGCGTCACGTGCACTGCGCGTCATCACACGTGCGGGCGTGGGGACTCCGTGTGCTCAGAGCAGACCCCCGTCTCAGGCAGCCGCGCAGGTGAGGGTGTGCGGGGCCTGCCCTTGCCCAGGCGGCGCCCGCTGCGGGAGGACAGGGGTGTGGGCTGGGCAGCGGACAGGTGCCTGCCCCCCCCCAGAGCCACGCTCACGGCTACGTGGCCCTCGCGCGGGCCCCTCGGGCGAGGCTCAGGCAGGACTCACCTCCGTGATGATGTAGAAGTCGTCCCCAGGCTCCCCCTGGACCACAATCTTCTCTCCGTCTTCAAACTGCACCGGCTCCAGGGCGTCGGCCACGGTCAGGCGCTCCCACTTCTCCAGGGACTCTGGAGAGGGGACAGGAGCACGTCACCCCAATGTCATCTCAGAGGACACCGCCCCCGGCCCTGCGGTGATGGAACTAACACAAGGGAAGGAGGAGCCCTGGCTGGCTGCTCCGTGGTTAGAGCACCAGCCCCACACCGAGGGTCTCAGCTTCCATCCCAGGGAAGGGCACGCACCTGGTCGCAGGGTCGCTCCCGCCTCCGGTCGGGACGTGCAGGGGGCAACCAGTCAGTGCGTCGCTCTCGCATGGGCGCTTCCCTCTCCCCCCTCAGCCCTCCCTCCCCTCCACTCTCTGAAAAGCCATGGAAAAAATACCCTCAGGTGGGAATTAACAACAAGCAGAAGCTGAGGGAGCGAGGGCCCAGGTCCCCCAGGGGCCCGGTGTTAGAACGGGCTGTTCTCACACAGGTCGCTGCAGCCGGAGCTACCTGAGTACTAAGCACCTTCCTTATTGCCGCCTGCACTTTGCAAACAGCACAGGGTGCCGCCCAGGGGCTGCCCAGGCCGGAGCAATCCAGAGCGGCCGGAGCAAGGCCCCCTCGCTCTGAGGACGCGCCACTCGTCAGCGTTCAAAGGACACGTACTGGTTGGTGTCGCAACACCGAGCACAGTGCGCCTCCCTTATTTTAGGTCAAAACCCTTGATTCCAAAGCCAAGTTTATCGTTAATGCTTTGAAATGCGGCACATCTTTCCACCCTTCTCACACCTTCCCTTCCTGCCGTGATCCATCCCTAACCCTCGGGAGGGAAAAAATAGCCACCCCAATGTGCTCCCTTTTAGAGGGAATACGATTGCCTGATTAACTTTTTTTGGCACAAGAAATTTCCCCGGCCTGGACTATCAGATGCTACTTATGTAGGTCAGCCGCTAAAAATATAACGCAAAGCCTCTGTTTCAGATCTAGGTTAGGAGCCGGGATTTCTCTGCTTTAACACTCCTGTCGATGCCACACGTTGCAACGGCCAAGCTTTCAACTAACCCCAAGGTCAGGGCGGGTGCTCGGGCGGGCGTGGATGCCGTGGTCGGCGTGGGTGCCTGTGGTCAGGGTTGGTGCCCAGGGTCAGGGTTGGTGCCCAGGGTCAGCGCGGGTGCCCTCCATCCCCGACTTGCCCAGCACTGAGACCACAGAACCTGCCGGCACCCAGGGCGCGTGAGGGGCTCAGACTGACCCAGGATGGAGACCTTGCTGAGGAATTCCTCATACATCTTGCGCTTCCGCAGCGTGCTGCCCTGTGCGGAGAAGGGGAAACAGAAGAGGTGGGTCTTTGTGCCCGACTCCCTACGACAAGTCCCGATTCCCGACATGACTCTGAAAGCTTCAGAGGACACCCTTTGAGCAACCCACACCCCGAAAGCCCCTCCGATGACTGGGAGTCAAGGGAGCTGCTATAGTTTCCAGTGCCCAGCACCTGGTCCCCAAGCGGAAAACCACGAGAAACACAGGCTACCCGAGGCGCCTCCCACCAGCGCCTGCAGGACTGCCGACCACATTCTGGCCGTTGGGCCATCAACGACAGTGGTGGGGCGATCAAACCTATCCTTAAAGAGAAGAGCCCCTCCCTCATCCCGTCCTGCTGGCTGGGACATGGAGATGGTGGCTGGAGCTCCCGCAGCCATCCTGGGCCTTTGTGAACAGAGGTGCAAGGTGAGGGAAGCTGGTTCTCTGGCCCCATAGAACTTGAGCATGCGAAGTAACCATGTGGTTCAAGCCGTTTTGAATATTTGTCACATCCAGTGTGGCTGCCAGCCTCTGCCACAGCCCCAGACCCCCACTTCCCGGTTCTGCAGGGAGCAGGGCTAACAGGTTAACTAAGAGGACACTAAGGAGTGACCGGTAGACTGCCGAAGCTACACTGGAAAGGACTCGGGGGCTTTGGTCTTGCTTATTGACGGCTCCGCTATCAGCTCTCAGAGGAGTGAGCAACTTCAAGGAACTCATCCGAGTCACCTCCTCCAAGTGGTGACACAGGGGCCGCCTGTCCTGCCTGTCCCCTGCCTGTCCCCAGGCCCCCGCCTCAGTGCCACCCACTCTCACAAAGACTTCAAGCTGTGGCTCTAGGCTCTGAAGCAGCCACGACTGATTAGGAAGTCAGCTGGTGTCTCCTCAAAAAGGCACCTTTCTCACATGGAAAATGGGGCCAGCAGGAGCCCCCACTGTGGGGCAGGAGGGAGAGAAAAGTGGCCCGGTGGTCATGGAGATGTGAACAGTGGGCAGACACAGCCCCCAGTCCCTCTGTCCCGCCCCCCCGCTGGATGGGCGAGACGCACGGCTGGTGGAACAGGAGACCCCATGGTCTGGCCGCCCTGCCCAAGGGGTAGGAGACGGTGGAGGGAGAGAAACAGGGAAAGGGCACAAGGAACAGGCCACGTGGCACTAAATGCCTGTCCCCAGACAACTATGACAAAAATGCAACAGCAGTGAAGTGTGGGCAGGAATGTTAGCCCCAGGACCAAGGGTTTTTCCACAGATGTCTGTTCTGGACTCCAGGATGGCGCGGCTGACCTTTCCCACCTAAGCCGCTGGGCACGCAGTGTGTCTAGTACCTCTGCCTCCCCACCTGTCTCCAGAGTGCCCCTCAACATCCAGAAACACAGGAGCCACATCCTCCCAGGAGGGAAGACTGAGCCCATGACAGGATCAAGCCCTGGGGATGCCCCCCCACCACACATTCCAGGGCCTCAGCACTGGACACTCAGGCTGCCCATCTAAGAGAGAAGGGTGCTTGTCAAGCTGGACAAGTGTGGGTTTGGGTGTGCCACCTACATCTCTGAGCCTCAGTGAAATGGCGATTACAAACGTCCCAGCCTCACTGAGCCACTGTCAAGGAGAGACTCAGCTGTTTCCTATGCTGATGATTGCGGTGATGGAGGTGGTAGTGGTGATTGCGATGGTGATGATGGTGATGGTGATGGTGGTGATGGTGGTGATGGTGGTGATGGTGGTGATGGTGATGATGGTAGTGATGGTGGTGATGGTGGTGATGGTGATGGTGGTGGTGATGGTGATGGTGGTGATGGTGATGGTGATGGTGATGGTGGTGATGATGGTGATGGTGGTGATGGTGATGATAGTGATGGTGGTGGAGGTGGTGATGGTGATGATGGTAGTGATGGTGGTAATGGTGGTGATGGTGGTGGTGGTGGTG